ACCTTTGGATAGGGTTGCCAGATGCTCTCCCAAAAAATACCTAACATGCGGGCTTAAAAATTTTTGTCGGGCATATGACCACAGGAGGTGCCACAAGGCTTGTGTCCAGTGCCCAGCTGGAAAAACAGAAAATACCAGACATTACATGTGTCTGCTATTTTCTGAATTTTTTTTACCGGACAGAGGGCACAAAAACCTCAAGTAATCCACCTCCTCTTGCCCATTCCCAGCATCTGGCAAACAGAGACCAGGGACACTTCACTGCTCAACTTTGCAGGATATTGGGGTGTCTGTCAAAGCACCCTGGGATGAAGTGCGGGATTGAGGGGGGCTCACAGGGGGAGGCTGTGAGGAGGCAGGTGGGGGGGGGTCGGGGGCTTTCAGGGGCAGTTGTGGGGTCTCCGAGAGGGGAGGGCTTACAGGAGCTGCCTGCCCAGGGTGAGGACCCAGCACCCACACGTGCCAAGTGTCTCTGACCTCTCATGGTGCTCCAGGCGCGGCTACCCGGTCAGTGTGCGGGGCGGGTCCCGCTGCAGGGCCCCGAGCAGCGGGTCTGTGTCTCGTGCTGGAGGAGGGCCCAGTGACACCACGGGGGGGGGGCAGCCACAGTAGGTACTCCCTCTAGTTGCTAGCAGAAGCTGGGCGGGGGTGGGTAGAGTGGCGGGGAGCCCCAGCCATTCCCCCCGCCCGGCTTCTGCATGCGACCAAAGGCTCCCAGCGCCAATTGTGACCCCGCCTCCCAGCTGGGAGTCTCTGGTTGCGATCAAAAGCCGGGTGGGGAGAGTGGCTGGGGCTCCCAGTCACTCCCCCGCTCCGGCGGAAATTCATAAAATACCAGACATTGTATCCAGAAATATCCAGTATTTTCTGCATTTTTTTACCGGAGAGAGAGCACAAATACTGGACTGTCCGGTAGAAAGGGAGAGCCTATGCCCCCTACTCTTTTTTTCCCTTCCCTTTTATGAAACCAGGAGAACCTGAAAAACATGTGGGCTATATCTACACTGGCGGGTTGTTGTGCCAGAAATATGCAAATGAGGCTAAGTGTGGAATATCGCCAAGCCTCATTTGTATACCTAATGAGCCGCCATTTTGCAGAAGAGGCTCTTGTGCTGGAAGGAGGGTATACACTGCCCCTTCTTGCTCAAGAAAAACCCTCTTGCGCAATGCCCTTATTCCTGAAAATAATCAGCGTAGCGGCATTGAGCAAGAGGGTTTTTCTTGCACAAGAAGGGGCAATGTAGATGCTCCTTCGGGCGCAAGAGCCTCTTCCGCAAAAATGGTGGCTCATTAGCTATGCAAATGAGGCATGGCCATATTCCACACTTAGCCTCATTTGCATATTTCTTGCATAACAACCAGCCAGTGTAGACATAGCCTGGGAGATGGATAACTGACTGTAACTTGGCCACCAACCTTTCAGCTAAAGCAGTGCCTCGCAACACTAAAGCCAAATAATATGGATAGCCTTTGAAGAGACATATCATACTCCTTGAAATCTGGGGAACACACACTATTCTCTTTACCGTAAGAGATATGGTTTCTCTTATCTGTTTTTCATCTGACTTTTTTTCATATCCCAGCTTTTATGCTTTCTAGAATTATTACTTGGGTTTTAATGGCTTCTGGCATCAGTCAGTCATTCAGCAAAAGGAACATCTCTCTCTTCTTCCTTTCTCCAAACAGACACCAAACAAATAAATTTATTTTAATTTGAAAGTAAACAAAAAAAATAGAATTCAAGGTACCATATTTTGTTCTTGATCTGTTCAGTTTAATATCAGTGGGATTTACACCAAGGTATAGCCATAGGAAAATAAAACAGCGGTTTTAATTTTGTATCCTATTTACAGCCTGTCATTTAAATGGATAAATAGTATATAAATACGTTGAATATATGTATCTTGATAGCATGTCCCTCACTGTAGTATATGATTAGAAGATATGCAAATGAACAACAGATATTTGGCATACCCAAATGACAGTGTAATGATCATAAACAGAATAGGTCACAACACCAATGGGCCTATTTTGCCAGGGGCATCAATGTGACTTTTTGTACAGTAAGGTACTATTCAACAAGAATATGAGTGGAATAATCTGAACATAAATCCCTTTGGACACAGCTCAGAAAAGCACTTATGCATGAATAATTCATTAATCATACGTGCTTAAGTGCTTTGCTGAATCAGGGCCAATGCATTGAACACTGAAATGGTAAATTGTCCTTTTTTGCTTTCTACTTATTATTTTTACAGCTTGTTATTCCCTCTGGACTTTATCATTCCAACATTTGCATCATTATGAGTCAATACATTAAGCAATACCAGGTATATCTGAAGGAAGACAGTTAAAGAAAAATTAATTTCATATTGATTTTAAATAAATATTTTGTAAACCTGCATGATGTATTCTAAACTGGGAAACTGGAGGAACAAAATGTAGAACAACAATAGTCCACTATCTTTTTTTGAATGGTAGAAAAGTTGCACTGATTTCTAAAGGGATTAAAATATAGGTCCGCATTTTCCCCAGGGAGGGGCGCCACAACTCGCGCCAGAGGCTACAGGTGCCGCGGGGGGCAGAATGGGTGCATGGGGGGCAGAGGAGGGGCAGAGGGGAAGGAAGAGGGTCACTTATGTAACCTCGTGGGCGGGAGGGGGGCGAGTCCAGGACGGCGCTGGAGGTCGCAGGTGGCGGGCACGGGCACAGGCCCTAGGGTGCGTCGGCCCCTGCAGCGCAGGGCGATGGGTTACTTTTTGATTTTTACAGCTTGAGCTCAAGCCCGATCGGGTCCAGAAGTACCTTAAAACCTTCTCCTGAATGAAAGGTTATCCCATGCAAAGTTTGGTTGCGGTAGCTCTTATAGTGTCCAAGTTACTAGCACACAAAACTTACAAATATTCTCCTTAATATATTAGATACTAGATGGAATGGAGTTAACCGGCATTGCTCGGTCCCGTTCCCTGCCATTTCCCCCTCTCTCCCTGCCAGCCCTGCTTCCTGCTGGCCAGTCCTCCTCCTCCCGATCTCCCCTGGCTAGCCCCGCTCCCGTCGTCCCTCCGCCCCTTCCTCCCAGTCAGCCCCGCTCCCCTCCCAGCCGGTTCCTCCCCCCGCCTGGCCCCGATCAAGTGTGTCAGGGTTTGTTTGTTTTTTTAAGACTACCTGGTAACTGTAGCCGCAGGGGGCAGGGCGGGTGCCGAAACTGTTGTGCGCATGGGGGTAGGGTAAGTCTCGGATGGTGCTGGAGGCCGCAGGTGGCAGCCCCCTTCCTCCCAGTCAGCCCCGCTCCCCTCCCAGCCGGTTCCTCCCCCCGCCTGGCCCCGATCAAGTGTGTCAGGGTTTGTTTGTTTTTTTAAGACTACCTGGTAACTGTAGCCGCAGGGGGCAGGGCGGGTGCCGAAACTGTTGTGCGCATGGGGGTAGGGTAAGTCTCGGATGGTGCTGGAGGCCGCAGGTGGCAGCCATGTGACCTAGGGTGGGTGAGGCTGTCCCTGCAGCGCAGCATGGCAGGTTATTTTTTATTTTTACAGGTTGAGATCGGTCCCAATGGGGTCCTAAAGTACCTTAAAACCTTCTCCTGGAGGAAAGGTTATTTCATGGAAAGTTTGGTTGTGGTAGGTCTTACAGTGTCCAAGTTATTAGAGCACAAACATTCTCCTTTATATATTAGATACATTATTTTAAACTTTTTGGTGCCAGTGCAGTCTTTTTGTTGTGTTTATATAGCACCTCATACAGGCTCAACCTTTCTAGACCCACTCTCTAGTCTGGCTACCTCTACGGTACTGCATGATTTTAGTTAGCCGGACATCCACATGGGCATGCCCAACTTTCTCAGAGTCTCATAAAATGTGTTTACTGCCACTAGTCCTGGCTCTCAGTATTCTGTGCTGTTATTTAGCTCTAATTTACCCCAAATGTCTTCTAAAGCGTAGTAAGCAGTGAAAGTGTTGGTAATGCTGCTAGACAATATTGGCCTCCTGTGATGGGGCAAATTCTCTGGTTTGGCACTTGTCTGGTCCTGAGGCTGCTGAACTAGAGAAGTTCAACCTGTACAATAGGTCCTGGTCCACAAGCAAAGGCTGTGGGTGCTCTGTTAAAATAAATAATCCCTGTATCTGTACAAATTTACTAACAGAACAGAAACTGACTACATAATGTTGCTGAAATGTTAATACTTAGTTAACGTGGACCAAAATTTGCATTTACAAAACTGGAAGCTATATGAAATAAGGTCCCTTATGTGACAAATTTTAATACAGGTTCCACATCCCTGGTTTGGCAGCCTTGGGACTGACTGGTCCCAAAGCAGGAAGTCTGTCAGACAAGGGGACGTCAATTCTGCCCCTCTGCTGATGGACTCCAGACTGTTCGGGGGTCTGTCAGCAGACATGGCTAGACTGCCCTTCCCCAGGCCATCTGGCTCCTGGCTCTGCAGCCAACCCCAGCTGCCTCTAGATTCCACCACAGCCTGCCAAGGTTCTGCTACCACCCTGGGGCCACTGGGCCTCCACTGCCCCCAGACACTGCTGCCACAGCTCCACTGCCCCCAGAGGTGCCAAGACTCTGCTGCCACCAGGGCTCTGCCTCTCCCAGGCTTCGCAACCACTGAGTTCCACTGTCCCAAGGCTCTGCTGTAGCTCCACTGTCCTTGGGCTTCACCGCCCCCGGAGCTCTGCCTCCCCTGGGCTGCACTATAACCTCTAGGGTAAACCCCAGGCTCTACTGCCAGTGGGCTCTGCTGCCCCCAAGCTTTGCTACCAGTGGGCTCTACTGCCCCCGGGGCTCCTGTGCTCTGGGGCTTCCAGGGCTCTGCTGCCACCAGGTCCAACTGTCCTGGGGCCACCAGAGCTCTGCACCCCAGGGCTGCTGGGGCTTCTGGGCCCCTGGATTCACTCCCTGCCATCAGAATCTCAGGGCTCTCTGGTCCCAGTCCACAGAGGGTCAACATGTATTATAATACAACTACAATCAATGTACAAAAAATACTTTCAGCTCATAGCTGTTTCCTACTAACATGAAGCTATTTCATATCAGAATCAGGTTTGAAAAATGTGTACAGATCCAAAGAAAAGAACTTTTTTTGTGTGTCAGATTATGAACTTGCTTTCATGAGTAAAAGTATTGCTTACAAATAATCATACTATATTCCATGGAACTGTTGAACTTCCTCAGATCTGCTGAGGAACAAACCTGGACAAAGGATGGGCTGGAGCAGTATTGCTTTTCGGGTTGCATATTTGTATGCAGATTCTTAAGAGTAAAGTGATACTCACACACATACATCACATTCATGCTGAAAGTTTGGTGGCAGGCTGCAAGTGCGGTGTAAATTATTTTTTATTTCACTGATGGCTGGAGTGCTGCCCAGGCATCAGCTTCCCAGAGACTCAATCATGATGTTCCTTGGGAGATCCCTTTGGATCTGCAGGGCTACGTCTACACTGGCCCCTTTTCCGGAAGGGGCATGTTAATTTCAGCTATCATAATAGGGAAATCCGCGGGGGATTTAAATATCCCCCGCGGCATTTAAATAAAAATGTCCGCCGCTTTTTTCCGGCTTTTAGAAAAGCCGGAAAAGAGCGTCTACACTGGCCCCGATCCTCCGGAAAAAGCGCCCTTTTCCGGAGGATCTTATTCCTACTTAAAAGCCGGAAAAGAGCATCTACACTGGCTCCGATCCTCCGGAAAAAGTGCCCTTTTCCGGAGGATCTTATTCCTACTTCGAAGGGCACTTTTTCCGGAGGATCGGAGCCAGTGTAGATGCTCTTTTCCGGCTTTTCTAAAAGCCGGAAAAAAGCGGCGGACATTTTTATTTAAATGCCGCGGGGGATATTTAAATCCCCTGCGGATTTCCCTATTACGATAGCTGAAATTAACATGCCCCTTCCGGAAAAGGGGCCAGTGTAGACGTAGCCCAGGAGGCTTTACTTCTTCTTCTCTGGTCCCACGTTTCTGCTGTGATGTTACATCTTGTCCAAGTGGGAGATTTTCTGGACACTTCTCAGTTAATTTATCTACTTGCAGGGACTTTGTCTGCCGTAAAACATCATGAATCCTAAACTACTTTTTGGGTTGGGTATTTCTCATTCACACCTCACATGTATTCCATACGTTACATATAAATTCATAAGCAATATGGTTTCTAAGCAAAATGGGGCCTCATAGGCTGGAGTACAAGAAACTGCACTGTACTGCAGATAAAATATCAAAGGAATGATAAAAAGCTTAAGTTATAACTATGGAAGCAAAGGTCAGGGAAGAAGAGAAAAGCAGAGGACTATGTCTGGTCAGCTAGACACCAGCGAGGAGAAGGGGGATTGTGTCTGACTGGTTATAGGAACTACCTGTGTGACTGTTCATCAATGAAAGAAAAGAATCTGCAGTCTGACCTTTCATACTGTTTGAGTCTCAACACTGAAAAAGAAAGAATTTTTTTTGCATTCATGAAAAAAATACATTTAAAATAATGTAAGATACGAGAATGGGATGGCTGAGATTACTGGTAACTAGCTAAGGAACCTTTTGTCTGTCTCTTGTTTGACTCTATTCTGGTCAGAAGTTCTCCAAAGTCATTCCCATCCAACAAAAAGTTAGGAATACAAACTTGCTAGTCCCTGTCTCTAGCCAGTTTCCATTGGCCAGGTATGGACAACCACAACCAATCTCCACCACCAGGAATATAAAGGACTTTTTTTTCAAGCATGGGGGAAAAAAAAGCAAATCTGTTGAAAAGGTTGCTCCTATAGACACTAGGATGTGAGGGTGATAAAAGGAACCCTGCACTATTTATACTACAGTGGGTCCCTTGTGCTAAGCTCTGTACATATGTACATCCTCTGCCTTCAGAGATCATAGGACCTAGGGGTTGGTTGTGACTTTTCAGCACATAAACACCCCTGCCTGCCTGGTCACTTTGGGGTGCCCTGCACCCCCCATGGAGTGAGGTGCATAGATGAAAGTAAACTGGTGAGCTGCTCTGGCAAGGAGGAGCTGGCTGGATAGGGCACTCAGCAGCAGGAGGCTGTGCAACTGCTCCCAGGCAGGCTTCTGGAGCTCTTCTGTAAGTTGGCATGCTAAGCAGCAGGCAGCTAGGCAGATGAAAGGGGCTGGTTGAAGGGGGCTTGCCCTCCTCCCCCCACCAGTCTGGGACTGCCCCCAGTGCCAAGCCCCTGATTAAACAGGGAGTGGGGGAAGGGCACTCCAGTCCAGTCTGGCTGAGAAAGTGGCGTTTGCTGCATGCCTCTCAATCCCAGCTGCTGAGCAAAAGAACAGAGGAGTAATTCAGGCAAGCTGTGCGTTTTCCCTTCGCTTCTCGATAGTCGGGGGAAAGGAAGAAAAGCAGCAACGACCCCACTTTGTCCAGCTGCAGCCCTGCCCGTCCTGACAAATGGTGCCCTGTTCACTCCTCCACACCCACAACAGCCCGAGCTCCCCTTTGCCCCGACTCCTGTACCCCTACATCGCCCCTGCTGAGCCCCACACTCCCAGCCCCCTAACTCCTGCACCCCCACATCCTCGCCCTTCGCCCCACATCCTCATGCGCCTGCCCTGACTCCCCATCACTTGCCCTGAGCCGCCCGCACTTAGGTTTCTTGTAGGTCCTGTCCTACCGCACGCGCCCCTCCACCTCCTTGCCCTGAGCCCCCGGGGCCTGTGACAGGGCAGTACCTGTAAGAGACCGAGGTTACTTTCCTCTCTGGCAGGAGGCGCCTTTAGCACGTGGGCCGCAGCGCTTCCTGACTCCTCCCCCCACAGCCCCACCTGCCCACGGCTACAGTAGGTGGCCTCCGTAGCCCTATTCTGTGAGTAGCTGCAAGTGCTGTCAATCTTCCGCTTTCCTCCAATCACAGACGCCCTCGACCCGGAAGTGTCCCTCCTATCTCGCCTAGCAAGTGACAGCGCGAGGCGGGCGGTTGAAGTTCGCGGCGGGCCAGCCCTATTCTGTGAGTAGCTGCAAGTGCTGTCAATCTTCCGCTTTCCTCCAATCACAGACGCCCTCGACCCGGAAGTGTCCCTCCTATCTCGCCTAGCAAGTGACAGCGCGAGGCGGGCGGTTGAAGTTCGCGGCGGGCCCGGCGGCTGGCTCCAGCCCCCCCGGGAGGCGGGTGGCTGCGGAGGGAGGCCGATGGAGGCCAGCTTGACCTGCGCCGTCTGCCTGGGCCCCCTCGAGGATCCGGTCCCGCT